CAGTGCTAGGGGCGGGGTACACCCATCAAAATTAAACGAAATAAACATTTGAAATATTTGAGTTTGTATGTAATGTATGAATATAATATACAAGTTTCACTTTTTAAATGGAATTACTGAAATAAATCTACTTTTTCATGATATTCTAATTTTATGACCAGCACCTGTATATACAGCACTATGTGGTAGATTCGACAAAAAATTGTGGCCTTTTCCATCATTTAAGTTGCACATCTCTGAACTATATACTCTTAACCTATATTTAAAGACTGAAATACACACTGAATGCTGTCAGTATAATACAGTAATTTTCAGATTATCATTTTAAACGTCCTTCACACTAGAAACATTCTGGTGTCCAGCAGGGGTCAGCAGTAACACGTCAAATCTCACTCAGAACCTAGGACGTGATGTTTGTATTTACCTTTCTGGTCAGCGGTACCTCAATAGGGACAGGTACCAGCTCTGCTAGGAGACAGCCGTAGAAGGCCACCATGAACATTACTGGGTCGCTGTTGGGAAAAACAAGTGCGACCTGAAAAGCAAGACGGTTAGTTTAGCCCAAACATTAGAAATAAAGTGCAAACATCAAGCTAGTAATTCTTGTGTCAAACCAAGAATTGTTATGCTTCATAGCTTTTACTTTAGATCCTTAATATTAAATGTTCAGAAATTCATTCAGCTGATCATCCATTTATTTCTTACGTTTCTATTTCTGCTGGTTATCATCAGAAGTGATTTGATAATCAGATCACGACAGAAGACCATTTCATCTCATGACTTACTCTGTCTCCAGGCATTAGCAAAGGCTCATTTCTGGAGCTCAGCTTGTTTAGCAGGGTGTAGGCCAGTTTCTGACTGCGGGTCCACAGTTTACCTACAAGAGATAAAAACACCCAAGCAAACACATATTTTATTTTACAAGCTCTGACCCACAAATTGTTATTCAAATCTGCAAAATTACTAAAATAATTTAAAAATTATCATAAAAAACACCAAATGATAAAAGCTTTGACATATCAGTCCACTGTCCACATGTAGAAACCTACCGTATGTGAGCGTGTAGACGGGTTTGCCAGCATTGTCCAGAGCTGTGAGACATGGGCTCTTAGGATGAATGGTGCCCCACTTCTGTAAGGCTGCTGGCAAGGAGGGAGGCCAGTTGGTGACCACCCCGAGAGGCTCCCCTTCCAGGGGACTCATCTGCTGGCCTTCTGGCATGGGCTGGTTAGGATCTGGCTGCTGGACTAAAGACAAAAAGGTGGAGAAGGTGAAGGTGAAAATGTACATCAGTGTGTTTATGGAGGGAACAAAAGAAAATTTAACAACAAATAAAAGAGACAATGACAAGATCACGGGTGAAATTAAAACAACTAAGAAGTGAGTGAAGGATGGAGAAAGGCTGCCGAGTGTTTATCTTGAAAATTTCATCTGTAAACGATAAACATTCCCAAGAAACCACCATTGCTTACTCCTTTGTCACATCAAATCTGCAATTTGATTTCACGTTTTCCCCCTCTTTAACATAAAAGCACACTAAACTAAAAGTGTCGTTTAGAGTTGTAATCTTTTGTGTTCAGCCTGCTGCCGTTTCACATCTCTGTATATTTTTCTGGCCACACTAAAGACAATCTTTGTGCCAGAACCAGCAAGGTTACAGAATTAGCTGCTGATGGGTTGCTGCTGCTCCCACAGTTTCATTTACACAATGTTTATTCAAAGTGGCAGAGGACCACCCAAAACCCACAGCATGCCAGGCTGGAATTGAGGAAATAGTTGAACAGGGCTGGTCGACTGCAAGCACATAGTTTTCGCTTAATAAATTCCTTTACACACATGGTGATTATAGTTTTACAAATTAACTAACCTCTAATTGTTAAACTCAGCCATTTAGATCACTAAGAAGAATTAAATAGCAAAGACTGAAGATGTAGAAGGGGGGTCAGATTAATATGCTGGAAAAAATAATTTGAGAAATTGTGGTTATTAGAGTAAATAATTCCTTTCAGGTGATCTTACCATCTAAGAGTTCTTCAAAGTCATCAACAAAAAACTCTCGCAATGGTGGCCGCTTTGGTCTCTTCAGTGTATTAAGTAGCTGCTGGATTTTGTTGGAGACACGACTGTTGACAGGAACACCTATAAAATTAATTTGAAGGGGACGAAAAGTAAAAGATGGGTGGGTGGGGGGTGTAAACAAGGCAAAACGGGGTTGTGGGTGCAACAGACATAAAACACATGAAGAAAAATGGATATTGGAGTGGAGGCATGTGTAGACAGACGAGGAGATTGATGAGTTAATGAGAAAACGATGGATAAGAGGACAGATACGACAGGAGAAAAGGTCAGTGTGGTGTTACAAGGCGATTTAGAGGACAATGAGCCATCACTCACAACAAAACAGTGGACCTGGAGGTCACAGACATCCAGTCAGGGTTCTGTAAAACCCCTGACAAAACTTAAGAAAGTAAGTCAGGAAACAAGGAGCCACCTCGCCTGCTGCCTAGCAACAAAGATGTCCTCCCTGCAGCATGTAAATTATAAAGTGTCTCAAAAGTTCCCATTTTATACACAAATACAAGACAGGCTAATTGTGATCTCAAAAACGTGGGCCTTAGCAAAGACAACAGAATGTTAGCAAGAGAACAAGGGAAACAAGAAACACAATGGTCTCGAAATAAAATTAGAATTTCTCCAGTTAGATTTTCCTCATGTTTAAGATCAGCAAATGATGTATAAATTCTTAAATTACCACAAAAAAGGGGGGTCTGTGTCAAACATTCCAGACAACCACAGGAGCTGAAAGCCACAGCTGTACACAGCGGGTTAAATCCATTTTATTATGAAATGGCTCACTGAGACAGATGCTGCCTCTTCATGTAGCGACAGATGCACTGGGAATAGATGTGTGTGTGTGTGTGGGGGGGGGGGGGGGGGGGATGTCAGCAGCACCTGATAGGCCAATTAGAAAACCCTGACACACAGGCCACAAATACCATCAATTACTGAGCCCTGATCACTCACACTATAATTAATACATTTGTGAATTTGTAATTTATGCCTCTACAGCGTTAAATTAAAACAATGCAGACTGGTTTTTAATTTAACAGAAAGCAAGTTGCATATTTTTATAGTCTATTATACTTTCAGTGCTGTATAGGATCACAACCACATTTACTGGCAAACCCAAATTCTCACAAACACAGAAAATAAAGAATAAAGCTTGTGTTGTGTTGGTCATATTTCAATTATTGTTACAAAAAGCCAGACCAAAACCAACATGTGTTACTCCCATCTGTCAAAACTTTCCCAGTTCCTGACCGTGTCTGCGGGCCTCAGCCACAAGACTGTTCCGACCACTTCTCTCACAAAAAATGGTTCATAAATACATGGTTTCCATTTCTTCATATTTCTCATACCAGTTAGGCACTATTTGTTTTTAAGAGACTTCATTCAAACAGAAACTGACATTTAGGTGTGTTTTATAAGCACCATGTTCAGTCAAACATTACAATAATTATAATAACTAGGATTATATACAAATTATTATGCATAGATATAAAATAAACCACTCTTAATTTTCTTATGTTGTAATGGATGTTACATCATTTGTATGTAAAACAGCCAAGTAATAATAAAGCAACAGCTCTGGTTTGCCTGTCAGCTCTAGCTTTACTAGTTGCACCCATGTAGGGGCAGATTTAAGGCTTGCCTGGTGTGGTTTGAGGCAGATCACTACTGCAAGGCATTGATGGCCTTTGAGTTGGATCTTGTGTTTAGTCTCAATTTTATATTGTAGCCCATTGAGCTGTGTCGTAACCTAAATTGGGGGCTCGTCCGGGATGTTTTGAACTTGTTGGTTTGGGTCATCTCGTAAGCAGCTAGAAGTAATTTTGCCAAGCATCATAAGATTAGTATTAAAGCAATAATGTATTAAATGTTAGCATCACAGCACAGATTTAACAACGGCCATTGTGGCATGTTTGCTTCTTTCCTCTGAGTCAGTATTTAAGTGTCAGCACTGATTGACAGCTGTCGTCACTGAAGATTCTGTGTAGCTGTGGTGTAACATCCTGTTGTCACAGAATGAAGTGAAAAACATAAACTGACACCTCTTCTCACTTTGAGTAAAACAGAATGTCAACATGTTAATTATTCACAAGGCCAAATAAACACCTGCACTGTTTACACTGTCTGCTTCAACTAAATCAGTTCTGAGAACCCTCAGGTTAGACACTGCTAAAACACATACACCGCATACCTGATGTCACTGTGGCTTCTCAAATATTTTTGTGAAACTCACATGTGTTGGATAAGTGCTAGACCTAACAACAGTGGCACAGGCAGAACCACAAACACACACACACAGACACGAACGCACACGCAGCAGAGTGCACACACAGCAGACTGCCACAGAGCTGGAGGAACAGTTATAAATACCATCAATTAAAGTGACGGATCCTTCACCTGCCCACTCACAGCCTGGAGGAGAGACATATCAGTACATCAATGAAATGACCCGTCCAAGTTTCTCTGTGTGTTTGTGTGTGTATGCGTGTGTGTGTGTGTTGAGAAACCTACCAGATGCTACCCAGTGGCAAGAGTGAGCAACCAGTCAGCAAAAGGAACAGCAATGATGTCGCACCAATCTTACCATATTAAACTATGTTCACTGATAGGCAACAAGTACGTGAGCTGGTTTAGTTTTTATCAAAACTAATTTATTAGCAGAATTTTGCAGTATGAACAGAAGTCCAGTTTGGGTCTGTTAAATGTTTGTTTTAGCTTTCAGTGCTTGATGAATGAATGAATGAATGAATGAATGAATGAATGAATGAATGAATGAATGAATGAATGAATGAATGAATGAATGAATGAATGAATGAATGAGCATGGAAAATTGACAAGATTTTTCATCTTGTCAATTTGGTTGGGATTTCTATAGACAATCATTTTTCATTTAGGTATAAAAGCCTTTGTTTCTTCTCAGTTTTAAATTATGGGTACCTTGTTTTATTTTCAGAATAATCCTGAAACAGCTGCATCAACAAGCAGATCACCTGACATTTTAGATGCTACATAGATGCCATCAAATTATTTATTTCCCTCTTTCTGTATCTACACAACACAGCATCCTGAGTTTTATTCTAGAGGCAGTTTGTCGTAATAAAACAATACCAGTTTGAATAATAATTACTTTATTTATTCATGTATAATACTAGAAATTTAACCCTTAAAATCATCCATAGTGGGGGGGGGGGCAGATGGACAGACAGCAGGAGGGAAAAGGAAAAGGGAAGTGACTCTGTGTGTGTGTGTGTGTTTGTGTTTGTGTGTGTGTGTGTGTGTGTGTGTGTGTGTGTGT